CTTTCAGAGCGTTATGTTTAGCACGAGCTGTGAAAAAGATCAAAGAATCAGGAATAGAATCCTTGCCTCTGTGTTCCAAATTAGCAAGGGGATTCTTGGTATTTTGAAAAGATTTTTACAGTGATTGGCTAATGAAGAAGCCCACGGAGATAAACAACATCAGGAAGCTTTTGAGGCCAATAATACCTTCATTTTCTGCTGCAGCCTTTCCTCTCTAGACTTCTAAACATGCCAGTTTAGCAAGCTTATATAAATATTCCTTCCTACTTGGAATGCTCTTCTTCACCATGCCTGTTTAATTTCCCCACATCCTCAAAATCCTAGCTCAAGTCCCATCACCTCCAGGAAGCCTTCCCTGACCACGTCCACCCACAGCAACTCTCTGTCTTCTGAATTTGGTACTACTCAGAGCCTGCATCTCACTAGTAGCATTTACCTAGTGTGCACTGTTAGTTTTCTTTTTATATGTGTGTATTAGGAACTGTTATCTGGTATAATTCTCAGTGCAGGTAATTTTTTTTTGCTCTGTGGCTCTCTTTTCCCACTGAGGCTGTGGCAGCTACTATCAGGAGATGAAGAGTTACACAAACAGCCCTGAAGACCACCATCACTTCTGATACCAAATGTAGGCTCAGGGGGTTCCCAAGACCATCCCCAGGTTTGGTCATTTGCTAGAATTTTCTAGAAGGATTTACAAAGCTCACTGAAAGCTGTTATACTCATGGTTACGGTTTAGTACAGGGAAAGGATACAGATGAAAATCGGCCAAGGGAAGAGACAGGTGGGGCAGGGTCCAGAAAATTCCAAGCGTGGAGCTTTTATCCATCTTCTCCCTGTGTCATGGACAGTGTTACTCTTGTAGCAAAGATATTTGATAATACATATGGAGTACTGCCAGCCAAGAAGCTCACCTGAGCCTGGGTGTACAGGGTTATTTTAATTTATGTTAGAAATAGAGTCTTGCACTGTCACCCAGGCTGGGGTGCAGTGGCACAATCAGAGCTCACTGTAACCTCAAGCTCCTGGGCTCCAGCCTCAGCCTTCCAAGTAGCTGGGAATACAGGCATGTGTCACCAGGCTTGGCTAGTTTTAAAATTTATTTTGTAAAGACAGGGTCTTGCTATGTGGCACAGGCTGGTCTTGAACTCTTGGCCTCAAGTGATACTTCCACCTTAGCCTCTCGAAGTATTAGGATTACAAGCATGAGCCACTGTGGCAGGCTAAGAGTTTGTATTGAGGTTTCACGGTCGACTTTCCACATGGCTGATCTTAGGTTTCAGCTCTTTTGGAGACTGAACTGATATCACATGACTCAAATTTTCACTATAAATCACACTGTTGGACTTCCTGGTGTAGTCCAAAGTCCCGTAGTAAACAAAAACAGTTATCAGGCAGGACATTCCAAGGGCTTAGAGGTGACCTTCCAGGGGCAAACAGCAAAGGCCAGACCTCTCTTTGGGCAAAATTAAATTATTTACTACACAGTGGGCTTTGCAAAATCTAGCTGAAGACTAGAGAGCAACTTCAGTTCCTGATTTCCCAGATAGGGTCTCAGGTGCATTTCAGTGATAATAGTCAGGATTTTCATTTGTAGGATTTTTATGTGCAGAGCTAGCTTCTTTGGGAGAAGTAAGGTTTGTGGGTTCTATATAAATCAAAGCTGGAGGATTAGAGTTTTGAGTTTATTCATGTTAACGATAGGAGAGGAAATTAGGTAGGATGTCATATAGGGCAATTTCTCACCACACAAGAAGGCGATAAAGACCATTTCTGGGCTGGAAGGAGGAGACTGGGGGAGGGAGAGAGACGAGGCAGGAGAGGGATTCTCATTTGACCCACTTGTGGGGTTGAAATAAAGGCATGGGGACAGGTGGGGTCAAAGGCTGCTCAGATGCATTTAAGGATCTGAACACAGAGGTACACTTGCTCTTCCTTCTGTCTGGAAATCCTGAACACCAGGTCAGAGAGAAATACCCACACAAACAGACTATGAAGATTGAGCACACATAAAGTTTTCTGAGTTGCAAGCAAACAACATCCCCACATCAAAATGGCGCCTGTGGGACAATGTGCATATCCCTTGTTATGCTGCATGATCCACAGATGAACAGGAATTTGTCCACGTCAATGGCAATGGTTATGTTATTTTGTTAAGGCACAATAGGCAATTTACATCTTTTCTGGTCTTTCCTGGTTAGATGTCTAATGTCCAAATGAAAATAGTTGTCGACGATTATATCTGATCACTTATGACTATGTCTTCCTTGCTCAAATGGTTGTCAATAAAACTCCCTCTTTCTTGGCCCAGCATTCAGGCCTCCAAAGTCTGGCCTCTGCCTTTCTGCCTGACTTCATCTTTTATTCCTCCCCCTTAGACAGTGCTTGCTATCATGACATACTATAAACTGAGTGGCTTAAACGACAAATATTTATCTCTCACAGTTTTGGGGGCTGGAAGTCTGAGACTGGGGTTTCAGCAGGGTTGGGTTCTTGGTGAACGCTTCCTGGTTTACAGAGAGCCATCTTCTTGCTGTGTCTTCACATGGCAAAAGACCAAAAAAAAAAGAGAGCTGACTAGCTCTCTGCCTTCTTCTTCTTTTTTTATTTCTTTTTAAGAGACAGGGTCTTTCTCTATTGCCCAGGCTGAACTCAGACTCCTGGACTCAAGCAATTCCCCTCTCTTAGCCTCCTGAGTAGCTGGGACTACAGGTGTGTGACACCATACCTGGCTTCTGGCATCTTCTTATGTCAACGAAAAGAGTCAAACTGTGTAAAATATTTGAAGAGATTTACTTTGAGCCAAATGTGAGGACATGACTCGTGACACAGCCTGATGAAGTCCTGAGAACGTGAGCCCAAGGTAGCTTTGTCACAGCTTAATTTTATACATTTTAGGGGGACAGAAATTACAGGCAGACATCAATCCATGCATGTAAGGTGTACTCTGATTCAGTCTGGAAAAGTAGGACAACTCCGAGTGGGGTCGGGGGGTGCTGCCAGGTCACAGGTGGTTTCAAAGATTTTCTGATCGGCAACTGGTTGAGAGAATTGATTCTTTTCTAGATCAGGGAAAAGACCTGGAAAGGGAAGGGGATTTTCTAGAGTGTAATTTTCCCCGCAAGAGGCAGCCTTGCATGGCCATTTCAAAATATTTCAAATAAACAGATTTTAGGGTAAAATACTTTGATATTTTTCAGGGTCTGCTCGCTATCACATGATGCTATACTAGAATCAGGTTGGAATTGGTATCTTATTACTGCAAAGAGCCTGTTTTGTCAGTCTTAAGATCTCTGTTTTAATGTTAGTGCTGACCATTTGTGCCTGAATTCCCAAAAGAGGAGGGTCTAATGAAGCGCATCTGACCTCCCTGTCCCATTAAGGCCTGAACTAGTTTTTCAGGTTTACTTTGGAATGCCCTTGGCTGAGAGGGGGCTTAATTGGTCAACTGGGGGGCTTAGAATTTTATTTTTGGTTTATACTTCTAGGAACACTAATCTCATTCATAAGGGCTCCACCTCCATGACCTGATTATCTCCCAAAGGCTCCATCTTCAATGCTTTGGGGTTAGCCTTTCAACATAGAAATTTTAGGGGGACACAAACTTCAGTCCAGTGCAGATAGACTACTCTCAGCTAAATGGAACTCAGCGGTTCTTGAATGAACGACCCCATCTCTTTGCCTTTACTTAGACTGTTTCTTCTTCCTGGACTATCTTTCCTCCATTTCTTTCAGGCTTAAATTCCACTTCCTCCATGAAGGTCTCCAGCTTCGCAGACTAGAAGTTAGCCTCCAACAGCACAGTGCGTTTACTTCTGTTACAGGATTTTCAGAATGTACCCATTTGTCATTATTATCTGAGTATAAGTCACATACCGGATTGTTAATTTCTCTAAGGTAAAGACCATGCCTTTCTTTCTTCCTTTCTTTTTTTTTTTTTTTTGAGATGCAGTCTCGCTTTGTCTCCCAGACTAGAGTGCAGTGGTGTGATCTTGGCTCACTGCAACCTCCCCCTCCTGAGTTCAAGCCATTCTCATGCCTCAGCCTACCAAGTAGCTGGGATTACAGGCGCCCACCACCACGCCCGGCTAATTTTTTGAATTTTTAGTAGAGACAGCATTTTACCATGTTGGTCAGGCTGGTCTTGAACTCCTGACTTCAAGCAATCTACCTGCCTCAGCCTCCCAAAGTGTTGGGATTACAGGTGTGAGCCACTGCAGCTTGCCATGTCTTTCTTTTAAATTCTCCACATCTCTAATAGCACTGGGTTCAAGGCCCTGCATGCTGAAACACTCAGTGAGGGTCTGCTGGACTGACTGTCTCTCACAGATGCAGACACACATGGGGAACATATATATTTTCAGACTAACTCTTCTGTCCGGGAATGCTAGGTCAGGAGGAGTAACGATGCCATGATCTGGCAAGAGCTGAGGCTGAGCTCTGGAGGGAGAGGAGGGAAGGGGAGGGGAGGGAGCCAAGAGATGGCTGGTAGGGTTTGCCATTTGAGTAGACTTGTCTATAGGTTGAGGAGCTTCAAAGTTCTACAGCCAGATGAAAAAAAAAAAAAAAAAAAAAGCTGGGATGGTTTCCATCACACCCATCCTTCCGTGCCTCTGCAGTCAAGTTTGGTTAGCAGGCAAGGGGTATGAGCTGGAGGGGTTGTCGGTCCCATGGGGACTGGGCAACTTTGCTTTTTGCCCTTGCAAATCCTCCATAGTAAAGAAAATCAGTATCCTTTGTATTATCCTAAGGTGTAACACATGGTGGGACTTCAAGGAGTCCAGGGACAAAGGCCAAAAACTCACTATTTAAAAAAACGATAAAAGTAACCCATGACTATTTTCTGAAATATGTGTTCTCAGCAGCAGTCCAAGAACTGAAAATCCAGACGACGACGTCGTCCCTCTCTGCCTTTTATTTTGTCCTTGTGTGAGTGAGGTATGGGCTGTTCCTTTGTGCATTTTATTTACTTTTAATCATTTTTTTTTCTTTTTAGTAAACGTCAGGGGAGAGCACACACACAGTCCCCCACTACCACAAATTATACAGTTGAGTTTCCCACATTTGGGATAATCGCAGGAGTCAGCACATCCATAGTGCAATGGATAAGCCTCACCTGGGAAAACCATCTTCATGACTGTAGTATCTCCTACGCCAGATGCTTCGCACATTTTAATACACAAATGTAAAATTGATAGAACCTTGGCAAACTTGACTGTTTTAAAAGCTCTCTATTAAAAAAATCTGTATCTTCTTTGATCTAGCAATTCTACCTCTAGAAATTTACCTTTAAGAAAAGGATAAATTGGCCGGGTGTGGTGGATTACACTTGAAATTCCAGAACTTTGGGAGGCCGAAGAGAGGGGCGGATCAGGAGGTCAGGAGATTGAGACCATCCTGGCCAACATGGTGAAACACCATCTCTATTAAAAATACAAAAATTAGCCGGGTATGGTGGCATGTGCCTGTGGTCTCAGCTACTCCAGAGGCTGAGGCCCAAGGATCGCTTGAATCCAGGAGGCGGAGGTTGCAGTGAGCCGAGATTGTGCCACTGCACTCCAGCCTGGTGACGGAGCGAGACTCTGTCTCAAAAAAAGAAAAAAAAGAAAAAAAAAAAAAAGGATAAATCATGCATTTATAACAATGCATAAAGATCTGGCAAACATGTTCATGGCAGTCCATTTTTTAATTATAATAATATATATCGTAAATATGATTATAGAAACTGGATAAACATTCTTACCATAGAATACTCTGAAGTTAACAAACATGGTGACGAAGATATTTAGCAGTTTTCCTTAAAACTAGTTCTCAATTCACTGCTGATTTGTGGAAATGTACTTCCCATACTAGGCAGCAACTCTAAGCAGTCTCAAGAACTGAGGCATAGATTATCTTTCTTTTTTTTTTTGTCCCAGGCTGGAGTGCAGTGGCATGATCTTGGCTCACTGCAACCTCCACCTCTTGGAATAGCTGGGATTACAGGAATGTGCCACCACGCCCAGCTAATTTTTGTATTATTATTATTTTTTTAAGTAGAAATGGGGTTTCACCACGTTAGTCAGGTGGGTCTTGAACTCCTGACCTCAAGTGATCTGTCCACCTTGGCTTTTCAAAGTACTGGGATTACCAGTCATAAGCCACTGTGCCTGAGCAGATCTGTTTAACTTTAGACTGCATTATGCTTGCTTGGTTCAAGTTTTCCTGGCTCCTCAGTTTCTTAATCTGCAAAAAGGATCCAAATACTTACTTTATAGGATTTTTGTGAGGATTAGAAAGAAGTGAACTAACATATACAGGCAAAGTGCTGCTAAATTGGTACACACTGCAAAAAATGTTTGTTCCTTTATACCCTACTGTCCCCCAGAGTGTATAGTCTACACTCACAAACACACAGTAACATTCATACGCTATAGAGTATTATTTCTCAAAAGTATGCCCATTCTCCTATCAAGACTCACTGTCTACATTTAATGCAGGGAAATCACTGCCTTCTCTCTCCCTATTGCTCACATGGAAGCTATCTTGGAATTCTTTGACTACTGACCTCCAACTGAGTGAAGATTCTCTGATAACAAAGCTTGATACACTGAGTTTTCCTTCTCACATCTCCTGTATTCTTGACAGCTTCAGAACAGTTATTTTAAGGGTGAGAGATGGGGCTGTGATACAAATCATTAAAACCCCAATTTCTGAATGCTGCTGGCTCTTTCTGGACCTCTTAATGTGTGATCTTGGGAGGAAAACAAGGTGAGAGTATGTCTCCACTCCTTCTCAAGAGGTTTGGGGCCCACCAGGCTTCCTCCCACCTCCCCTCTATCAGTGAGGATGCTTTCAGACAATATAAGTAACAGAGAAAACACCTGGAAGCAATGTGAACTGTAAGAACAATTATCTTACGGAGAAGTAGCATGGAAACAGGTGATTTCAGCGTCGGTGCGGTGGTCCCACCTATGTTGTGAAGACTCAGGTGTATCCAATTTGCCATCTGCATTTTGGTGGTGTCTCCCCTTAAGGTCATGAGCTGACCACAGCAGTCCAAGGTGCTGTATGCCACCATTTCTTCACCAAATAGGGAAGAAAGCAGCATCTTTCCCAGAAGCCTCTCAACAGCTTCCATAGGCCAGGATTAGGTCATATACTCACTTCTCATCTGCAAGGGGAGCTGGAAAAGTGGGTAAATAGCATTGTCACATCTGCAGAGGGCAGTGGGCTCTTCCAAGGAAGACGGGTTGAGGGGATGCTTGTCAGGTAGGCCACCACGGGCATCTGCCACATTTCCCTGACCTCTAGCTCTCTAAACATCAGACAGCAGTATCTGAAAGGTTCAAGTCCCACCTGTCCACTCCCAGCTTGTTTTCTCTGTTGCTTGCAAGCTGTCGCTGGAACGTGGAGGGTCTTGGCTGTAGCTCATGGTACACCATTTCCTGTCCTCGTCTCCTGTCATTTAGTTCTGTTGGCCAGAGACCGAATTATAGGTGCTCATTTGTCAGCAGTCTGACTGGTGGCCCCAATACTTGTACTCTTCTCATTGTCTCTCTGAAAAGCTGTCTTCCTGCTGTGCTGGCATCCAAGCAGCTCCATTCCGCTTCAATAGCGTGCGAATCCTGTCTTCAGGCAGGTGGAACTCCAAGGCAACCCTCTCTGACGGACTTTAATAGGGTTAGGCAGCACATCGTCTGGTTTATTTGTTTTGTCCCCTTACTTATGAGTCTGAGAGAACACAGAACCATAACTCAGCAGAGCCCACCCATGGAAGGGCACTGCTGTGTCTCCTCCCACTGGCTTATTTTACAGGAGTGGTTGTGTGCATTGATTCACACTGTGTTTCTGACTGATACAGTTGAGTATTTGTTCACCGTCTAAATCTCATGTTGAAATATAATCCCCAATGTTGGAGGTGGGGCCTGGTTGGAGGTGATTGGATCATGGGGGCTGATCCCTCATGAATGGCTTAGAGCTGTCCTCATGATGGTGAGTGAGTTCTCACAAGATCTGGTTGTTTAAAAATTTGTGTGGCATGGGCCGGCGCGGTGGCTCACATCTGTAATCCCAGCATTTTGGAAGACTAAGGTGGGTAGATTACCTGAGGCCTGGAGTTTGAGACCAGCCTGGCCAGCATGGTGAAACCCCTTCTCTACTAAAAATATAAAAAATAGCTGAGTGTGGTGGTGGGGCGCCTGTAATCCCAGCTACTTGGGAAGCTGAGGCAGGAGAATCACTTGAACCTGGGAGGTGGAGGTTGCAGTGAGCTGAGATCGTGCCATTGCACTCTAGCCTGGGCAACAGAGTAAGACTCCGTCTCAAAAAAAAAAAAAAATAAAATTGTGTGACACCTCCCCTGACCCACCTCTCACTCCTGCTTTCACCATGAGACATGCAAGCTCCCAGTTTGCCTTTCATCATGATTGTAGCTTCCAGAGGCCTCCCCAGAAGCAAATGCCGGCCCTGTGCTTCCTGTACAGCCTGCTGAAGCCTCTTATAAATTACCCAGTCTCAGATTTTTTTTATAGCAATGCAAGAATGACCTAATACACTGACTCATCAGTTATAATTACATCAAACAGTTTAAAACAGAAACCTGATTGTGATGAACCAAACAGAGATTTTATTTTTCTCATGCAAAAAGAAGTCTGGAGGAAAGCCGTCTAGAACGGATGTAATATATCCATAGTGCTATCAGAGACCCAGGCTTCCTCTTTCTTCCTGCTTTGCCATCTGCAGTGTATGGCTTCTGTGCTCATGTTTGCAAGATGACTGTTTCAATTGCATTTTGTTCCAGACAGTTAAAAAAGCTAAGATTATCTTTCTTTCGTTCTTTCTTTCGTCTTTCGTTTGTTCATCCTCCCTCCCTCCCTACCTCCCTTTTTTCCTTCCTTCCTTCCCTCCTTCCTATTTCTTTTCTTCATAAGGTAGCAATTAAGTTTTTCTAGAATATCCATGCTATTGGCTTTTACTTCTACCTTACTGACCAGAGCTACGTCCCATAGCCACTTCCCTGCCTGCAAGGGAATCTAAGGGAGATATGAATGCACATTGCCCAATAAATTGGTGTTCTAGTAAGGAAGAGGGAAGAACAGATACTGGACTGGCAGCCAACAGCATCTGCCATGGAAATCACTCCCTTCAGGCAGGTGTGTTCTGGGGGAAAGGGCAGTAAACCTGAGAGTCATGGAAACTTCCCATCTGCCATATTTCCCCAACGCACTTAGTCCTAGTCACACACGTGAAGAGTGCCTTAAGAACTTCTAAATTTTCCAGAATACTGGTAGACATTTGCATAGGGGCATTTCTGCAGGAACCCTGGCATCCTAAAACAATAAATATTCACTTGTGCCTTCTGTCTCTCTCCTTCTCTCCCCTCCTTGGTCTCTCTCTTCCTTCCTTCCACAAATAATTTTTGAGTCCCTAAGTTGCATTAGACAATGTGCTAGGCACCTAGGGACACAGGCAGATGTTGCTCCTTCCTCTGCTGAACAAATGCAAGTTTGGCTACTGCAGGCCAGACAAGAATTGTGACTCTCAGGTGGACATCACCTGTTTGGGAGCAGCCAGGCAAGGGAGTGTGCTTGTGGCTTGCAATGAGTTTAAGCGATTTCTGGAAAATGTGTTTGAGCAGTCTGCCATATGTGTGAAAAGTTACTCTGAGAGGGAAGACATAGGGCCTGAATCTTTCTGAAGGGCTGAAGTCATCCCTGATCCCCCAGCTGTTGACATTGCACATGCATGTGGGAAGCCTGTTTTCCCAGTTACAGACAGCTGGACAAGTCAAATCAATTTCACACAGCATGGCGCCAGATTCTCCTTGGCTCCCACTCCCATCAGTCAGAATTCTTGCTGGTGATATATACAGGAGGCACACCAGCAGGGGAGACCAGGCCTAAAGAGGCTTACGGCAGTACAGTCACACATCCAATGTCTATGTCACAACACTTTCTTGAAAAGTTCTTAACCTGTAGATGAGAAAGCTGTGCATGGCATCCAATTACACACGAAAGGGATAAGGTGTCTTCTGAGGAAAATCTGAATTAATCAAGAATGACTATTAAAATTTTCTATTTTTAATGACTACTTACACTGTAAACAAGTTACACCTTTCAAAATGATAATGTATACTTGATCTCATTTAGGCCTTTGCAAGAATTTTACTGTAAAATCTATATC